GGGCGCTACTGCGCAGTGCCCGCCTGCCCACCCTGCTCCTCGGCACAGCCACCCGGGCTGGGCACCGCGGACCACAGGAGGCCGGCCCGCCCAGGCTCCCGGAGACGGCTGGTGGTGCCTAAGCGGCCCCCTTCCCTGACTGGCCGCGTCCCTCAGCACCGGCCGCCGCTGTGCTAGCCAGGGCTCCGGCTGCCCCAGGGATCTGTGGGCCGGGTGCGATCAGGCCACACCAGCGAAGCTGCCTTTCTCCAGGGAGGGCAAGTGGGGCTCCGGGCTGGGGCCGGGTGTGCAGACCCCTCGCTTTGTCCTTGCAGGAAACCGGTGCCTCTTCTGTTGGACCAAGATTACGTCAACCTGAAGAACCAGATCATCAAGGCGGAGAGACGGGTCCTCAAAGAGCTGGGCTTCTGTGTCCACGTGAAGCACCCGCACAAGGTGAGTGTGCCCAGGCCAGCCCGTCGGCCCTGGCCATGGGGCTTTTGGGTGCCAGCTGCTGGTCTCGGTGGCGTGTTGTCAAGCGCTGAAAGGGACGTTGCTTACGTCCGGCCTTCCGGACAGAGCGAACTTAAAGCGGGAGCCCGCGCTGCGGGAGTGTCTTGTCTTCAGCAGCTTACGTTTCAAAGTCGTGTGCGCGGTCACCTGATCTCCGTTACGGGGAACTCGTAGGGCCCCTGAACCCTTTCCCGTGGACCCGAGCACCCGCCGGAGCCCCGCGGCCGAGCGTGCCGCTGCTGGGCCGTGCCCGGGCGCCGACACGCTTGCCCCGACGGGGTCGCTCTTCCGTCTCCTCGCTCCGAGCTTAGCGGTGGGTTTTCTCGTGTCTTCTGCTTGACGCCGCCGATTCAAGTTCTTGGTGAATCGCTTCACCACTTTCAGAGTCCCCGTCGTTCACGGTGTCTTCGCACGGCCTGTGGCTCCCTCGTGACTATTTGCGAGGGGCCGGCGTGGCGTCGGCCACGGGCTAAGCTCCGGGTGGCGAGGACCGCCGGCAGCTGGCGTGTGCCGGCCTCCTGAGCGCGCTGGCTGCCTGCTACCAGAAGGTCGCAGGTGGCCGCAGCTCCCCCTGCCGATCCCGGCACAGCGGGTGACCAGAGCACACCCCTGGGGTCTAGCACGAGGCTTTCCGCTGCGCGGACGCCGTCAGGATCTGGACGCCGGGTTCTCGCGTGTCTTGGTCGTAACTGCCTGACCCGTATCTTCCAGATAATCGTTATGTACCTTCAGGTGTTAGAGTGTGAGCGTAACCAGCACCTGGCCCAGACCGCGTGGTGAGTTGACCTTCCTTGCTTCCTGAGGCCAGCGGGGCAGTGCAGGAGGTGTTGGCGCGGCGCTGGGCGGTGGGGAGCCCCGGGACTGGGCTGAGGGCTGCAGCTGAGTGCCCGGTGCCCCGCCTCGTAAATCCCAAGCGGCCTCCCCAAACGTCAGGCTGGGTGTGACGGTAAGGTGGTGGGTGCCCTCCCGCCCTGGAGCGGACAGCCGGGGTCTTCCCCACACGTCAGCACAAGCGCTGTCCTTAGCGTCTTGTGCAGCTGCTCCCACGGCCCCGGGGGAGAGTCCCGCGGGGGGCGGGGACCTGTGCCAGCGTCAGGGTGAGGGGCCGCGTGGAGCTGGGCGCTGCGCCGCCTCGCAGTGAAGCCCCAAGGGTCGTGTGTTTGCTGCCTGAATTGTCTGGTGCTGTGCCGTCCTAACAGAGAACCCATTTTGACTTTTCTTTTCTGTACTCTTTCAATCGAAGGGTAGCCTCTGAGGGTAAGTGACTAAGACTTCTCCTCTGCTGTCCAAGCGCTTTGGTGCAGGGACAGCGGCCGTCCTCAGCCAGTCCCGTGCAGGCTCCCGCGAAGGCCGGCTGGATGGCGGTGCGCGTGGGGCGCTGCCGGCGTCTGCTTCTTGTTAACCCTGTCTGCTTGGTAACTGTATCGATAAGAGTTGCTAACTGTTCACTTGAATTGTGTCCCCTTAAAACTGCTGTACGTGCAATAAAGATGCAGGACCTCTCTCTTTCCAGAAGTTCTCTGGAGAGCTATACGAATTGGCTGATGGGAAATCAGACCTCAGTGTGGGACCGTGTCATGCATTGTGTCCGGAAGCCCTAACGCTGCTCTTTGCAGCAGCTAAGCATTCACATTCCTGTAAAAGGTGTGCATCTTTACGCTACTCCCCGGACACGTTACACTGTAACCTCTCTGATAAGTTCTGAGGACTTTGTATGTCTGTGGCCTTCGGCATCACTGGCTAACAGCGTTACCCATGCTTGAATGCTGAAGTTCCTTTATCGGAACCCCAAAATTGGCCGATGGCTGTGTCCACACGGGGCTGCGCCCTTCCCTGTGGGGACCCAGGCCTCCCCCGGAGGGCCCTCGGGTGCTGGCACAGAGCCTGCGGCGGGAAGGCCGCCCGTGTCCCGTGCTGGGGCGCGGCGCGGGCCGCGGGAGGTGGGCGGGCTGCTGAGTCCGAGCGCGCCCGGCCCGGGGCCGCCGGGGCAGTGACCGTGTGACCAGTCCACCGTCTTCTCACGGGATTCACGTTTCGTGCTTGCCATATGGACACATTCGGACGAGCGCTAGCTGTCCCAGTGTGACGTCGGAGGACTGTACCTAAAGGAAACGCTGAGCGGACGCTCGTCCTCAAATGACGCCACGTCCCCGGCGTGAGAATGCCTTGTGTTTTTAAAGTGTGACATCTGCTAACGTATGATGAAGTTGTAGATGTGTAACTGTGATGAACCTGCGTGTTGTTGCTTTGTCTGACCTGTGAATGTTCACTTTAAGACGCCTTGTTGAAATGGGACAGTGTGGAAACTGCTCTTTGAGGAGCCTGAGAAGAGGACTCCCTCTGGTGCAGAGCCGCCTCCTGCATGACGTTGCCATGCACCCGAGGGCGTGTCCCCCTTTTCCGAGTGGACGTCCGCTGGAAGAAGAAGGGCCGGGCCGGACGCCACCGCGGGGGAGGGACGCCAGCGATGACCCGCCGCGGAGCCCCGCGGCCCTGCGGCCGTTTCAGCCTGCCGCTCCGCGCTGCGGATTCCGAGCACTTAGGCTTCTTAGCCCAGTGCGCCCCGCCACGACCGCGGCGTGCTGTCTCTGAGCCGCTGCGTGTGCACGAGAGCAGTCGAGAGGGAAGAGCAAAGTCAAAGTCGGTTCTCTGTGGTAGCGACCCGCAGCTGCTGGCACTCAGCCAGCTTCTCGAGTTCTTTCTCAGCGGCCCTGTCTGCCTGCCCTGTATTCAGGAGAAGCAGGTAGACTGTTTCTCCTTTAACTCCTGAGGCCCCGGGACCGTAGCCCGAGTCCCGCAGGTGACCGCGGAAAGGTGTCGTGGCTTTAGGTGACGCAGACGGTGCCCGTGCGGGCGGCCTTGCGATCCCTGCGCTTGGTTTTCAGGAACTACATGAACGACAGCCTCCGCACCGACGTCTTCGTGCGGTTCCAGCCCGAGAGCATCGCCTGTGCCTGCATCTACCTCGCGGCCCGGACGCTGGAGGTCAGTGCGGCGTCACGGTGGGCCTCGTCCCCTGGGGTGGTCGTCTGGGTCGGCAGAAGCCGGCTGTGTTGTGGCGGGAAGACCCGTGTCGGTCCTTCCTGAAGCTCTTCTCGGTTGGCTTCCAGATCCCGTTGCCCAATCGGCCCCATTGGTTTCTTTTGTTCGGCGCCACAGAAGAAGAAATTCAAGAAATCTGCTTAAAAATTCTGCAGCTTTACACCCGGAAAAAGGTTCGTCCCTGTCTCCGTCTCGGGGCGCGTCTGAGCATCTGGCTGCTGATGCAGCGGCTTGACGGCGGCTTTGGCTTCCGCAGGTGGACCTGAGCCGCCTGGAGGGCGAGGTGGAGAAGCGGAAGCACGCCATGGAGGAGGCAAAGGCCCAGGCCAAGGGCCTGCTCCCCGGGGGTGCGCCGGCGCAGGACGCCGCCTCGGGCTTCTCGCCCGCCCCCAGGCTGGGTGAGCATCCCCGTGCCCGGCAGGCTCCGTCCTCCGGGTTCCTCGTGGCACCGGGTCTGCTGCTGGCCTGAGCCCTGGGCGGGCACTGGAGTCTCCGGCGCTCACCCGGCGACCTGAAGCGAGACGGCGCCCAGGGCTTTCTGGCACCTCCTAGGTGCCTCCGCTGGGACGGGGGAGGGTCCTGTGGTGCCTGGCCTGCAGGCCGCCTGCCTCGTGGTCGGCGCTGTGTCGGCGTGGGGCGGCTGGGGTGCTGGAGGGGAGCGTGCGTCCACAGTGCCTGGGGAGAGGTGGGAGCCCAGCTTGTCACGGGTGTGGTCAAGCGAGATGCTGGGCCATCGGAGACACTTGGCCAGACAGCCTTCAGGCGTCAGGCTCGCGCTCATGTTGGGTTTCAGCGGAGTCCCCCAAAGAAGGCAAGGGAAACAAGCCCTCCCCGCTCTCGGTGAAGAGCACCAAGAGGAAAACGGAGGGCGTCAAGAAGCCCAAGGCGGACAGCCCGGTGAACGGGTAAGAGGCCCCAGGGCGAGCGAGGGCGTGGGGCCCGCGGGAGGAGGGACGTGGGTCTCTGACTCCCGCGCCCTGTGCTCAGCTTGCCCAAGGGGCGAGGGAGCCGGAGCCGGAGCGGCAGCTGCGAGCAGAGCTACTCCAGGTCCCCGTCGCGGTCTGCGTCTCCCAAGAGGAGGTGTGTGCTGCTCGGCGGGGGGCGGGGGGCGGCCACGTCAGCATCAGCATCAGCGTCAGCACTGTCCTCCTCTACAGGAAGAGCGACAGTGGCTCCACCTCCAGCGGCTCCAAGTCCCAGAGCCGCTCCCGGAGCCGGAGCGACTCCCCGCCGAGACAGGCGCGGCGCAGCGCGCCCTACCAGGGCTCCAAGGTGCGGAGCCGCCGCCCGGCCAAGGACTGCAAGCGCCCGGGCCAGAAGCCCCGCAGGTCCCGCAGCCAGAGCTCCTCCCGCTCCCGGAGCCGCTCCCGGGAGCGGCCGGACGGCTCGGGCAAGTACAAGAAGAAGAGCCATTACTACCGGGAGCCGCGGCGGGAGCACTCACGGTCCTACGAGCGCGGCCACCGCTACGAGCGGGACCCCCCCGGGCACAGCCGGCATCGCAGGTGAGGCGGGCTCCGGGGCCGCCCTGCAGCCCGGCTGTGCCCGGGCCTGCGGAGCCGCTCTTTGGAAATGTGGCCGCTGGACTTGGGATGAAT